GTCTCCTTGAAAAGAAAAAAAGGCTCCAGTTGACAAATGGTGGGGAAATAGAAAGGAACTGACTACAGGTCGCACTATGTGGTCATGTGCAGAACAAGATCAAGGGTGTTACACTGGGCTTTGCTTACAAGATGAGGGTCTGTGTACATACGCTCACTTCCCCATCAATGCTGTCATTCAGGAGAATGGTTCTCTTGTTGAAATCAGAAATTTCTTGGGCGAAAAAATACATCTGCAGGGTTCAGATGAGGTCAGGAATTGCTTATTCAGTATCTCAAGCCCAGAAAGATGAGTTAATTCTTGAAGGAATGACATTGAACTTGTACCAAATTCAGCTGCTTTGATTCAGCAAGCCACAACAGTTAAAAACAAAGTTATCAGAACATTATTGGATAGTATCTATGTTTCTAAAAAAGGAACAGTTCAGCAGGCTGATGAATAAGATCTAAGTTGCTCAGCTATAGAAACAGCAAGATGCCAAAGGTTTTCTCTGGCTTATTTGTAATATTTTAAAGATGCAATAAAAGCCTTGAATTGATTTTAGGGGTGAAAAAGTCTCATATGCTTTTCTAAGTAAGGACTCAAACACTTCACTCCTACATTCTGAGGGCAAACGACACCTCCAGTGTAAAGGGAATAATGAGATGTTTTATCTTAATTTTCTATGACTTGCAATGGCAAAATCTTATAAAATATCTTTAATTTGAAGCAATAGAGGTTATAAAGTCTTTTATTCTATGGCTGGTAAAGTTCTGGGCTAAAAGTATTCAAACATAGTTTTCTTGTTAATGGTAAGGAATTCCATATTATTTTCTGAATTTATCAAAGAAAGTTGATTTAAGACATAAAACACTGTTCTGTCATTTTCTGATTCTGCCATCTGTTGTTAATTCTTTTTATAAAATTTTAGACTGTATGACCAATGAATTCACATTTTGTAATTTTCTTTATTTATGTTTCATTTTTAAAAGGGGCTGGTCCTAAGTGGGTTAGACTTTGACCTTTTGTGGGATATCATTAATTTTCTGTGGAGATTGGCAACTATTGTTTGGTTTGTGTTTACTGAGAGTCTCAAATGTGTAATTTATCTTGTTTTCTATTGAAGAAACATTTTTGATACCTAAGCTTAAAAGTGACAAAGGATAGGTTTGTTTTACAGCAATAATGTTATAATTTATTTAATATAATCATCTAGTTGAGAGGCATGAACTTTTTTCTAAGTTCATTTTTAGACAGAGAGAGAGAGAGAGAGAGGAAGGGGGGAGAGAGACAGAGAAACAGAGAGAAATATTGATTTGTTGTTCCATTTATTTATGCATTGGTTGATTCTTGTATGTAGCCTGACCAGGGATCAAACCTACAACTTTGGTATATCGGGACAACACTCTACCCGGCCAGGGTGGCATGAACTTTTTTGAATTGAGAATATTTTTATAGTATCAAGTCAGAAGCCCTTATATTGTGAATTGTCCCAAGGAGAACTAATACAGTAATTAAGTCAAAGTTTCAAACTACATATTATGACTCGTGTTGTAGAGAACTCTCCAGTGGGGCAATACAAATTCTTTAGCTTGCTATCCTACATTGGAGACTTTGGCTAACGATCGTTCGGGCTTTAATGTCCTCACCTGTAAAATGGAGAGGTTTGGGTTTGCTCAGAAGGGCTGTGACAGTTTTGTTGTGTCTCCAGTGGCTTTTAAAAGAGTGTAGCATTCATTGAGTTGAGTCTGTTCTGAATCAGACGGCAGGATGTTTCCTTTTTAGACCTGGCACAATCCAAACCTGGAATGAGTTCTTTGCCTACTAATACATTTAGTGTGATGACAGAATCAGAGTTAGAACTCAGGTCTCCACTAACCATTGTATCTTAGATGATTATCTGACACAGCCCTGGATGTCAGATCCATGTGTCCCTTCCCTCACTTCCTATTCCCTTCAAAGCCACCACAGACAGTGTTTATCTAACGATTATCTAGTGTGACATTTCTTTCCTGCCTGGACATGGCCTCAGAATCCTTCTAAAGCAACAGTCTAATAGCTGCAGCTAACAGACAAGGGCATCTAAGTAGTTTGACACTGTCAGTAGTACAATCTTTAAAATAAAAAAAGGCCACTGTAAATTCTGTTAAGGAGATTGACTTATATTGTTTAATACAAGTGGAGAATTGTTGCTTTCTCTTTAGCAGTGGTTCCCAATGTGATGATTCCTTTTTAATTTAAAAAGAAACTATAGCCTTGGCCAGTTTGGCTCAGCAGTTAGAGCATTGGCCTGCGGATCGAAGGGTCGCAGGTTTGATTCCTGGTCAAGGGCACATACCTGGGTTGCAGGTTTCATCCCAGGTCCCAGTTTGGGTCATGCAGGAGGCAACCAGTCGATGTGTCTCTCTCACACTGATGTTTCTCTCTCTCTCTCTTTCTCCCTCCCTCCCTCCCTTCCATTCTATCTTAAAAAAGTAAAAATCAATGAAAAAATACATCCTTTGGTGAGGATTACCAAAAAAAAAAAAGAAAGAAAAAAGAAACTATAGATTCCCACATTACCATGAATTCAGTTACAATGAAATGGATTTTCGTTTTATTAATCACAGCATATAATACCATTTGGAAAAATGAGCATACATATCTGTGTGAGACATTTTACATGCTTATAAATGAAAGGCCCCATGTAATACCTTCCCACCCCACTCCATCCCCTCAGCAAAAGTCAGGCATTAGAAATCATTATTCTATACCACTTTGTCTTTTTTTTTTTCTTGGTTTCAGTTTAAAATAACTTTTTTAAAATAAGTTTTTGTTTTAAGTGATCTTCATGGATTTCATACTATATGCCCTGTAGTCCCAATTCCAGAAAGTGCTTCATGGGATACCCTTCTAGGTTTTTTTTTAAAATTCTCACCTGAGGAGATTATAGATATATATAATTCCCCCCCCCCCCATGTTTTTTAGACAGAGTGGAAAGGAGGGAGGGAGAGCCAGAGAGAAAAACATTGATGTGAGATAGACACATTGATTGGCTGCCTCTTGCATGACCACGACCTGGGACGGGGATGAACCTGCAACCTAGGTACATGCCCTTGCCAGAGGCCAACACTCTAACTACTGAGCCAAACCAGCCAGGGCATACCCTTCCAGTTTTAACCAGCCTGTCTCCTTCAAACTCTTCTGTAATTGGGGTTTTCCATGAGATTTCATTTGGATAAAGGGTTTCACAGCTTAAAAAATATTGAAAACCACTGTGAATCACACCTTCCCATTTTACACAGTGTTTCAGAGTTACCCTATTAGGATAACCAGGATGAAGAGCTCAGTTGTCTGACTTGCTGGCCACTCTTCATCTCCCTACCTGAGCTGCTATTCATAGAGCTTGCAGAGGGTGTAAGCTGACACCACCACCCGCTGAGAGTGCAGCACATGCTTATATGGAAAGAAAAATCGTTTACATTGTAATATCAGGGGACTGTAGTCTGCTTCTACCCTTGATTAAAAAGTTATGTGGTGTGCCTATTTGTAAATGATTGTCTTGTTTGTGTGTGGGCTTCTCTCACTATTTAAGGTGGGTAGAAGGATGATGAATCCTTTTTTTTTTTTTAACTTAATTTTCTTTTAGAACAGTGAAGAGCTACCGTCACAGGCAGAAGACAGTTCCTTTTTCTTTTCTCCCAGTGCTGTGTCCCTTTCTTCTTTTGTTTGTGGCATGCTTTACCTTGACCTTATTTTAACCACTGTCCAAGTAGTTTTTGGTCTATAGCCTGGATTTTGCCATTTATCAAAGTACAACTTCAGGGCTCACTTCTCTGCTGTGCTCACCCATTGCCATTGTTACATCAACATGGCATCAGTATATCAGCTAAATAGATGTTAACATGCCTGGTCTGGGCTACCTTTTTTTTTTTCTTTTTTTTCTTTGCTTAGGGTTGGAGCATGAAGCCAAATGTCCTTCCAGAGCTTGCTGTGATTTCTAGGACTTGCTTGTCTTGGCTTACCTTGGACATTTAGGGCCAGGTGATCCAGAATAACTACAACGAGTGTCTGGTGACAGTTTGCAGAGGGTGCTGTATCCATCTTGGCTCTATACCTGGGTGTGGGTGTTAAGTGTTTTCTATTCAGGTTCTTCTTAGTTGGCAAGGCCCAGGCAGTGCTGACTGCTCCGGCAGACCCCTGCCTGCCAGGCTGCCTGCTTCCTCACCCTCCTCATCCTCCTCACGAAGGTCGTCTCCTGCTGTGTAGAAGCGCCTTTCTGTTAGCTGCGACCAAGCCAATACTTCACCTCCTCTTTGATTCTCATCTGATGATGCGAAACTGAAATAACTTTCTCTGCCCCACCTTACTTTTTACTGAAGGAGAAGAACCAAAAGTTAAAACTATAAAAAGAAGAGCCCTGACTGGGTAGCTCAGTTGGTTAAGCGTTGACCTGATACGCCAAGGTTGCTGGTTCGATTCTGGGTCAGGGCACATACAAGAATCAACCAATGAATGCATAAATAATTGGAGCAACAAATTTCTCTCTCTCTCTTACTCACTCGCTCTTGCTCTCCCCCTCTCCCTCCCTTCCTCTCTTCCTTTCTCTCCATCTTCTGCTCTTTCTCCCTCTCTCTTTTCCTTCCTCTCGATCTCTGAGATCAGTTTTAAAAATGAATATAAAAGGAAGAAAGAAAACAAAAGACAGGAAAGCCTTACATTGGAAATCTGATCATTAGACAATTGAGCAGTAATTTTTGCTTCTATGTCATACAGCTGAGATTTAAAGGGGAGTTTTGAACTTTGTGAAAGACTTCACTTGAGCAGGGATTTCTTCTTGTCATTTCCCACATGGAAATTAAAAATCTATTTGCTATCTTTAACAGGAGATATTTTTCTCTCATCTGTCAACCCTCCAACAGTCTATTTTCTTTCAGAATGGACTAGGATGGCTAATTGCAAATTCTTTGTCCAACTAAGGAAAGACTGTAGGAGAGCTTTAGTACTCACAGCAGGTCAGCAACACCACTCTAGAGAAAGACTCACCAAGTTCCTTTCCAGGGAGAAAGCTTGGGAAGCAACATAATGAGTTGAAGGACCCTTAAGGTATGTATGAACTTCATGTGCTTTGGTGAACATAATGGTAACTTAGTTTCTTCCCAAGGCAAATTAGGAAGTGGGAGGTGTTAAAATGTCCACCGCTTGTATCTGTGTCACTGGAATGATTGATTAGCTTGTGATAATCACAACCGAAGTGACTGCTGTTTCAGGTAAAAAGAGAAGAGGGTAACCTCAAGGATTATGACCCAGAAGCTGTTTTAAAAAGTTATCCCTAGAAATCTAAGCTCTGTGGTCTTGTTAACTGTAATGTGTCGATGTCAGTTTCCTTTGAGAATGTACTGTGGTTATGCAAGATGTCACCAAGAGGGATCTCTGCTCTTTTTTGCAACTTCTTATGAGTCTATGGTTATAGAAAGATAAAAAGTTAAAAAACAAAACAAAACCCTGAGAAGAATAATTACCGTGCCAGGTGAGACATTTCAGGTCTGAATTCCCTCCGTCCCTTCTTTCTCTTTCTACCTCCCTTCCTTCCTCCCTCAGCTTTGCTTCATGGAGGTATATTTTACATGCATGAGTCACCTATGTTAGAGCACAGTTCATTTGTTTTTTTACTGTTCATTGATTTAATCACAAAGTTGACCAGCCATCACCACAATCCAAACCTAGAACATTTTCAACTCTCCACAGAGGAACTACATAGGCATTGGCAGTCATCTGTGTACCCCATCCTTCTGCGCCCCACCCCTATGTGCATCTCAGGCAACCATGAATATGCTTTAAAAAATGTTATATTGATTTCAGAGAGAAGGGGAAGGAAAGGGAAGATGGGTAGGGGAGAGTGTGTGTGTGTGTGTGAGAGAGAGAGAGAGAGAGGAGAGATGACTCTAAGAGAGAAACATTGATTTGTTGCTTCCTGCATGCACCCTGTCTGAGAATCAAACCCACAACCTGGGCATGTGCTCTGACCCAGGAATCCAACTGGCGACCTTTCGGTACATGAGACAACATTCAACCAACTGAGTCACACTAGCCCAGGCACCATTGAGATGCCTTTTGTCTGTATAGATTTGCCTGTTCTGAACATTTAATATAAATAGAGTCATACAGCCTGGCCGGTGTAGCTCAGTGGTTGAGCGTCAACCCATGCACCAAGAGCTCGCCGGTTTGATTTCCAGTCAGGGCACAAGCCCGGGTTTGGGCCAAATCCCCAGTGTGGGGGCATGCAGGAGGCGGCCAATCGATGTTCTCTCTCATCGATGTATTTCTCTCTCCTTTCTCTCTCTAAAAATCAGTAAAGAAAAAATATTTTAAAAAATAAATAAATAAACTCATATAATATGTGGCCTTTTGTGACTGGCTTCTTTCATTTAGTATAATGTTTTCAAAAGTTCATCCATGTCAATAGCATGTATTAAAACCTAATCTTTTTTTTTTGCCAAATAATATTTTATTTTATGGATATACCACATTTTGTTTATTATGGACATTTAGGTTGTTTTTATTCTTTGGCTGGTATGAATAATGCTGCTGTCAACATTTGTGTATAATTCTGTGTGAACATATGTTTTCAATTCTCTTGGGGGTAAATACCTTAAGTATAGAATTGCTGGGGCATATGGAGACTATGTTTAATATTTTGAGGAACTGCCAAACTGTTTTCCAAAGTGGCTGTCCTGTTTTATATTCCTACCAGCAATGAATGAGTGTTTCAGTTTCTCCACATCTCAGGTGTTTCCTAAACACTGTGTTTTTGTTGTTTACAAAACGTTTCCTCTTGTCTTGGTAGGTGTGGGAGCAGGGAGTTGAATGATAATTTGGAGGGAATGAAACAAATGAAAATCAAATAAATTATTTTCATATTGGCTCAGTGCAGCTCTGGAAACCTTTCAGCCTGGAGCCTACAAACCTTCCTGTTTGACTGGATATGACATTACCAGGAATTTTACTTTCCTGCTTTTATTCTCCCCGAGGAGAAAAAAGAAATATGTCTTTTCCTCAGCTAGACATGGAGGGTTCAAACAAACATAAAGGACCCCTGAGTTATTAATAATTCCACGGAACATGTACTTGGTTTATGCCCAGATTAGTTTCTCTAAAATCATTCTCTCAGTGCGTCCCCTGCGCCGTCCTCCACCAGAGCGTAACTTAAGAGCTGAATCAAGGTTTGTTCAGTTGGTGTTTGGAAAAGAAACGGTGACTGGATGCTGGTCAGCTGGCTCGGGGCCGTTGGCAGGCCTGCCACAGACCATGCTTTCTGCAGGCCGTAGCCGCTCAGGCTCTTTACAGGCCTGCAACAGGCGGTGGTGTTTGAATTTGTCCTGTCTGAGCTCAGAATAACGGGACCCTTTGTAATCCACCGTGGCAGTGAACAGGCAAGTCTGGAGATTCTGGAAGTGTCCCAGTACACAGCCAAAGACAAGACCTCAGCTCCTGTGCCTGGGGCAACCCACTTGGGGAGTAGGCAGGGATAGGGACACCGAGAAATGTCATTTCTTAGTTCTGGTCTATAAATATGACATCTCCTACTGTGTTCTGGCCACTATTGCTTACTTTTGGTCGTATATTGGCAGTAAGCAATCAGATTGTTTTGCCTGCTGAAACCACTGTAACAGAGAAGGCCTGCCTCTCATGATTGCCCTTCTCACATTCCCCCCATTTTTATTCTTGCAGAGTGGAACTATATGAACGATGTTTGCAAGGGTGGATTCCCTCCAGATTTTCATTCACATACCCAGTGTGAGCCTGTGACACTCTCCCTGTGGGCACTACTTGCAGTGAGAGTCTAAAGGTGAGGGTTGGTCCCTAGGACCTTTCCAGGGCTCCTCAAGCAGTCTCGTCATACCTCCTCTGACTTCCCCGAGATGGCTTACTCAAGTCAGGGGAGGGCCCCATGTTCCTGTTCTCTCTGTTAGAAACTGCCCCTCTCAGGCACATTCTTTCAATGTCCTGTGGTATCTCTGTCAAATCAATATTTTGCTTCCATTAAAATGAGGTTGGCGGTGTATGGTTTGAACACCTGCCTATTTATTACAAATTGTCTACCCATCTTATTAAACCTATATTTAAATTAGACAAAAACAAAACTTTAAGTACATCAATTTCAAAGGTCAATTTTATATCACCATGAAGAATTTAAAATCAGAGTAACAGCTGATGTGTTTTCTGTTGGCTAACCTATTGTATAATTTCTGTAGTTATTGATGTATTTGACTTAATGACATCAATTGGAACTATAAAGAATTGAATTCTAAATATATACAATACATATATATTTTTTTGACTTGTTTGTGGCTCAGCCATGCTTTGACCAGATTGAGAGTTCATATACCTTCCCAAACTCTCCAAAATGGAAGTTTCCAGCAGTTTTTATTTCTTAAAGACAGATCTTCAATATACATTTTTTCACCTGGCATTGTGTTTGACCTGGTCTTGGGAGAAGTAGAACCGTCTGAAAAAGGCTGGTTCTCATGTGGGTGGGAGTGGAAAACTGGTTTCCTAATCTGTGTATGCGCCTTTCTGTTGCTGACCACAGTAACTCAGAGAGGCAGCCTGTCTGACCTGCCGCCTGCTGGCCCCAGCATCAGCTCTCTGAGTGTCTGTGACTGGTTTCTAAGGCAGCAAGCATTTATCAAGCATCCGTCACCATTAACACTTCATATAGCTACCTTCAACTCAAGTACTGTGAATGGATTTATCTACATTGCAACTTAGCCACAGAAAATCATCCTTCTATCTCTGTGGCTTTTTCACCTTTGATGAGCTTCCGATTGGATCAGTGTAGGTTTATAACTGGAGTTCTGAGTGAAGTGTAATATTCAATTCTTATAAATAAAACATGACTTATGCTGTCCAATATGGCAGTGACTAAGCTATACATGACTATTTAAATTATAATTAGTTAAAATTAAAAATTCAGTTCCTTGGTCACACTAGTCATTTTTTAGACCCTTATTAGTCTCATGTGGCTAATAGAAACTCTATTAAATCATGCAAAGATAGAACATATCCATCATAACAGCCAGTTTACTGATTATAGACTTTTCTCTACCCCACAAAATCCAAGGAAGCTATTAATCACAGTAAAGGAAAAGCTTTGCTTAGGTGAATTCAGGTGCTGGAAAATTCTATGGTCTGTCCCGAGCCTAAAATGAGAAAAGTAAGTAGATGTGCCATTCGTGCTCTGTTTTTTTCTGGGCAGTGTTTTCTAGCTGTGGTTTTTGTTTCCAAAGGTCTGTGAACATCCAGTAATCAGACTTGCTCATATTTAAATGCAAGTTTAATATTCTGAAACAGTATATAAATAAGTTATTTAGAACCAGTACTTCTGGTTCTATGCCCAGGAATGAGATGAGGGTAAGTTTAAATTTTACCAGGATTTGATTATCTGAGGCTCTCGAGCATGAGTGTACCTTTTCCCACCCCTTTCTTTCCCCAGTGTATGCTTTCTTTTTCCTAAGTTCCAAGAGCCCTTCTTTGGCTTCTGTAACTTGTTTCTTGAGCCCATGCAGCCCAGCTGGCTCACTTCTTCTACCTCTATGACTTTCTAGATAAACTTTTGCTTGTTAAAAACAAAAAAGACTTGATTATCACTATTGACCTGTTTTCTAATGGTGTACATATGTATGAGTTTCACTGTATTCATGTTTTGTCTTTGGGGGAGTTCAGTTTTGTTTTGACTTGAATGTATGTCTATTGGCTTTTAATTCTTTGGGGATCATTTTAAGACTGGATATTTGTTAGTTTTCTTTATCCACCTTAAAATTTGAATTTACAAGTTATAATTTATGAATAGAAAAAATTGAGCACAAATCTCCACGTATGAATGTTAAGTTATTAATGCTGATATCCAAAGGTTGAGGTTGCTGCATACAAGCCATAAAACATGGACAAAATGTATTACTTCTCCAGGAGGGTTCTGGCAAATGGACAGAAGAGTCGCAAAGAACTGAAAGACCTTTCCTAGACAATGTGAGCATTCCTTCTTTAATTTCCATTACCTTGAAATTCAGTGGCTTGAGAATATTTAACTGTGTTCTTCCTAATGTTGGCATTTGGTGGTGATGGTGTCTGTGTCAAAATTATATCTAAATTCCTCTCTAAACTTAGGCCAAGCATGTGATGCTGAAGAGAAATTTAACTCCTTCCACCCCCACCACCCCATTACCAGCCTATCTTCAGAAACTTTGTAGGTGAGGTTGTGTGAGTTGTTTCTATTCTTTTCTTTCTTTCTTTTTTAAAATAATCTTCCCGAAGTCTGGAAAAACTTATCCCATAGCAAGTAGCCAGTTCTTGCCATGACCTCCAAGGGAGAGCACTTGCGTGCTGTGGAGAGTATCCTGGCTCTTGTTCTCTGCTATCTTCTGGGACAGCGAGAGCACTTTTGTCCCTGTTACAGCACTTCAAGAAGGGCTTTTACATTCTCTCCTTAATGAAGAATCAGTCTTACTCTGTTGTTGTGTTTCGCATCTGCTTATAATTGGTGTCACTTTTTTCTCCCCCAGTCCATGGTAAGTTTGTATGTAGACTATTATAAAATACTTTTTCCTCCAATAGTAAAACCTGGGTGAATGTCTAAAAAATTGGAATTTCTGCTTTCCCAGAATTGGATCTTAGATTTAGTCAAGACTTAGTACCAATGTCTTCATATGTTCATGAACGTATAAACATATGTTTTGTTTGAATGTGAACTTGGCCATTGTGTTCTGATTCATTCAGCCCCTACTTTGGCTTCTTGTTCTCAGAATTCTGCTTTTCTCAAATGCATTTGGTGCCCACTTGCTTGCCTCAGGGCCTGTGTCTGGTACTACATCTGGCCACGCATTTATTCATTCTAAACTGTGGCCCAACATCTTGCTCCAGACGCATACATTTACCTTGTCTGGGTGCTAGCCATGGGTTGTGTGTGGACCCAAGAGTGGTTTGTGCTGTGGATGTGGATATCTGTTTTGAAAATAGACATTTTCCAAAATGGCATCCCTTGCCCATCAACAAACCACAATGAAAAGTATTGTCTTGGCTTCAGTTCTTGGCATTAAGCATTTGACCCAAGTTTCAAGGCTTCTCCTCCTGGGATTTTGTTTTACCAGAAGCTCCTGGCAGGAGATAGATTGATGGGAGGAAGAGATTCATAGAAGTCAGACAATTAATGAATCTGTTTTCTACATGTCATGGGACTTATCTAAATTCTTAACTCCTAAACGGCAAGGGCAAAATATTTTACTTTATTATCTATACCTAACCTATAAGTAGTTAACCTATAGTACTTAATCTATGATTGGTTGATTGATTAACTCTATAGCAAATATGCTCAGTGTGGTTTTTATATTTTTGTTAACATTTAAAGGTGCGCTAACTTAAATATTTTATAATAAAAATGTTTGCCTCGTTTTGAACAATGAACTAGCTCATTACATGGTTTTCACATTAGCCACACTCTTATTGCTTCCAACAATACTTACTATGAATCTGTTAATGATAATTAGTAGATCTTATGATGAAGCCAAAAAATGAGTGTGGTTAGTGAAGCAACACCGATGAAACTGTTTTTCTCTCTAACACAAGGTACAATTAGGGCCTTCTCTTTTTTTGCCTTTGCTTCCCCTCCTGCCTTACCCCACAGCTTTGTGTAGCCTCTTTTCTTCCATTAGACACGGAGGAAGCCTGGGACTAAATACTGTGTGGTTCAAGGATTCTGAATGTGTCAGGGTGGTGCAGTCGCATCTGGGTTTGGCAGGCAGAGATCTATTCTTTTTTTAATCTTCATCTAAGTATATGTTTCCATTGATTTCGAGAGAGAGGGAGGCAGAGAGACAGAGAGAGAATGATCTGAGAGAGAAACATTGATGGAAACATTGATTGGTTGCCTCCTGTATGCACCCTGACTGGGCATCAAACCCATGACCTAGGTAGGTGCCCTGATGGGGAATCGAACTGCCACCTCTTGGTGTACAGGACAACACTTTACCCACCTAAGCCACCTGGCCAGGATGCAGGCAGAGATTTTGATTTGAGGCTATCCTTGGGCCAGCTATGCCACAACTAGCCTGTGATTCTGGGAAAGGTTTGATCTAGTCCCCCCTTTTATAAGGTGAGTATTATGACGCCTTGCCTCCCTGCCTATTTAGAAGGGGCTTGTGAAGATCAAAGGAGAAATAGTACATGGAATCATTTTGCACAGTACTATAAAATGTATGCTCTTGCTATTAAAAAGTAATAAATTGCCTGTGTATTTCTATGGATTGATAATTACATTCACTGAACACTCTTATTCACGTGTCAAGAAACTCAAGCCTTATGGCATTGGGGCAACTAAGAACTGCAAGGAGTCTAATGAAACATAAGTTGCTCGTTGATTTTTTTTTTTTTTGGTGTTTGAATGGTTAACTTGGTACCTCTTACTAGTTTCAAGTAGTTTGAGAATGGAGCTCAGAACATTTCTCACTAGATTCCATTTGATAGACTTTCCTCTGGGACATTCAGTGTGATAGAGGGGTATTGAGCTGATGCCAACTTCCTTGGTGTGCTTGTCTAAGCTGACTTGTTTTTCATCTCTGTGATGTCATGGACAAGGCACCACGTAGCGCCAAAGCGGCTATTTCTTTGCTCTTTTCTTTTTAGTTGGTGCATCAGAATTATTTTGTTCTTAGTTTTTGTTTTTGTTTTTTTTTTTTATCCTCACCGAGGATATTTTTCCATTTTTTGTACAGATAGAGTGGGAGGGAGAGAGAGGAAGAGAGAGAGAGAAACATCGACGTGAAGGGACACATCGAGTGGCTGCCACCCACACGACCAACCAGGGCCGGGGACAAACTGCAACCGAAGTACGTGCCCTTAGAGGGAACCAAACCCGGGTCTCTCCGGACCGCAGGCTGACACTCTAACCGCTGAGCCAAACTGGCCAGGGCTCAGAATTATTTTGATTGCAGGTTATGGGGTAGCCTTTTTACCTAAGGAAAGCTGGAAAGCATGGATGGCTCAGAGATTTAGAATTCTAGGGAGAAAGGCTGCTTGGCCTGTCCTTGGTCCCTGCTCAGCACTGGCACATTTTGGCAGGGTTGGTTGGAGGCCTGACACCAAGAGTACAAGGAAAATCACAGCACCCTGGAAGATCAGTCTGCTAGACAGGCAAACACAACACTAGGTTTCAGCAGGATTCTCAGTGTTCTGAAATTAGGGGAGGCAACTTCACAACTTCTGTCCGTGTATCTACCAGCATAAGTTAAGTCTTTCTGTCCCTTTTATTAACGAGAAATAAAGCTGAGAGAGATTGGAGAGGGAAAGAGCTTCCTTGAGTTGAGAGGCATTTGTCCTGAAAATATAATAGGAGGGCCCTTTCCCCTAGGACTGGTACTCAGCGGGGCCCTGGGTCATTCTAAAGGCAGCATGCATCTGCAGAGGCCGCTACTGCCCAACTCAGGCACAAGAAGTAGTGTGAATGGCGCCCCCGGAGTTATGCAAAGTTATGGTTTCCACCTTTCCATATCTTTGGCTATGTTTCTGTCGAATTGTTTTCCCATTTCTGGACTTTAATAAAAGTGTCCAGCATAGATCTGTAGAATTTCCAGTGAAACAACTAACTACTGTTTTCAGTCAAAATATTTCTCTCTCCATAGTCAAACTAATGAATGTATAATATACTTTCAAAATAATTCTCTTGTGTTCTAATCTTAGCATCCGAATCTTTATACAGACTCCCTGTAAATACTGATGGTGCTTTTAGAAAGTGGACCACTGTATTGAAATAGGCTTACATGTGAACAGGAAAGGTGTGGTGTAGCTTTCATTTCCTTCCTTCTGTTCCTCACTCCTGAAACTGTGCTTTCAGTGAAGGGGGGGAAAGACTGGCTCTCCGTTCCAGACCACCTCCGTAGGCTACCTTCTTGTCCTCTCCCCCTGTTTAAGCGAGACAGCTGGCAGTGATTGGGAGATCCCTGTTTGTGGGAAGGTCCTGAAGGACCTGTTTGGGATGGCCAGGTAGCAGAAGTGTGATTTGCAAGTTTAATTTGTTCCAACAGAACATTTCTGTAGTGTTCATCCTATGTTGCATAAACTATGCAGAACAATGAGGGAATTCACCTGTGGGCCAAAATTGCCTAGATAGGTTGTCTATAACCTCATACCGGGGCCAGTATTCCCAGTATCCTAGACTGGATCTGGTGCTCACTGCCCACACTGTAAGTTCTTCCACTAAACTTGACTCTTGAGGGCAGGGAGGGGAGGGATCTTGTTTACTGTCATAGCATCATTGCTGGGCTCCATCTGTACACCCAGGACTATTAAACAGGTGGTACCCACTACCAAAGGCAGGCTGTCAGGGGGACTCAGTGAGTTCTTATGCCCAGTCATCCCCAAAAGCTGTATCTTGTCTTGTAGTCACAGTCGAGGCAGCACTGTTGTTTCTGCGTGACCAAAAGGACATCTGCTTATGACTCCTCTGCTGTCACACAGGGAAATGGGATCCCTTGGCACTCCTTTTATTCTTTTTTGCATAATCACTGCAGTTATATAGTTTTGCACAGCATGGAAAACGAAGTAAGGCTGTCTTTTTGTACCTGCCATTAGGGAAAAGGTTTGCCTGGGCTGGGGGCCAGCACAGACCATAGAACCTGGCTGGTAGTAGATACCCCTTAAATATTTTTTTGAAGAAGTACTGGAAATAAAACATTTTGATTCACAAGTTGGCTTTTCCTACCACTTTCTTTTTTTTGTTTTTGTTTTTAATCTTATGGTGGGGGGACCTAGGTAGTGATACTTGTAAATTTTGGCATGCTAGGAAAATGGAATCGATGTCAACATTCTGTCACTCTCTGTTCATCTTTCTTTATGAAAAAAATAATAATTATAGTGGTTTTCGCTGACACAATTCAGAGGATCTGATCGTTTTCCATGTCATAAGGTAGATATTAAGATGTTTTACTTAGAGGTTTTACTCACCTTCTCATAGAATTTAGAAATCCATTCTTGCCCAG